AAATATCTTTTTGTTTTCTGATGGTCTTAGGCGACCCCTGTGAAAGGGTCATTCGACCCACAAAAGGGTCATGACCCACAGGTTGAGAACCGCTGATTCTAGACTCTTTGGTTGGACAGAGAAGGTTTCTACTGTTTTCATAACAGTTCCTACATTCATGAGCTCTGTTCAGCTGAAGACATTCAGATCCTACCCAGATTTAGCTAATGCCATGTAAAATTAACCACAGGCTCCATCAGTCCACCAAAATAGTAATTTGTGAAAGCCTACTTGAAAGATTGACTAAGCAGAGTCGCTTTCAAATGAGCCCTCTCTAGAGGGATTTTATTTTCTGATTTACACAGTCAGGGAAAACAATTGTTTCATTACTCCACCATCAGCAATGATATCAGATGTGTTTGTGAAGCCTCAGCCCAGCAGAATATCCAGACTTCCCATGAGAAACAAATGAATCTGTTTGTGTGAGGTGTTTCTCATATATGCTAAAATATTAGTTAAACATTTCCTGCTCTTTATTGATTGGCGCTTCCATCAGTGTTTCTATTATCTCTACTTTCACCTACATGTAGAAAGGCGACCAGTAAAAGTTTGCATTTTATATAATTTCAGGACACATTGCCCTCTTTGTGTTTTGCTACCCTTCTCAACTGACCATCAGTGAGTCTCTGATACTGAATCAAAACCCAAGTTTAGATGGAATTCTTTGTTTTTTAAGGTTTAAAATAGCTTAATCCATGGAAGAGGGGGGGAAATCGATTTTCCTTTTTCCCCTGATGCCCTAGGATTTGAATGTTTTTCTAAAACAGGCAAACAATTAGGCATTTCAGTTAAAACAATATAAAATACAACTTGGTAGGAGTAGATACATGGAGATGATTGGGAATCTATAGACCAGGCATCTGATTGGTTAAGTTTCCCGTTGACTTGGCCCGCTGCGGACCCTCTGACCCTGCCCATCTCACCAGGCCTCACCGACCTGTGTCTGCACTCCGTGCCTTCACTGCATCTGTAAAACCTTCCTTTTCTCTCCCTCAGCTTGATGTGTTTGATGCTGCTGAGCGGTACCAGCAGGCAGGCCTTCCCCTGATCATTCTGGCCGGCAAAGAGTACGGCTCGGGCAGCTCCCGGGACTGGGCAGCCAAGGGCCCTTTCCTCCTGGTGAGTATGCCATAGGGACGTCTCAGCAGGCAGCTGCCCCTCTGGACCAGGGAGAAGCTGGGAAGCGCCCGGGAATCAGCTCTGTTGCTTTTCTTTCCAAGAAGTCGTGGAGGAGCAAGCTCAGAAAAGCATGTGATGTTTGTTCCTCTCCTGCTTCTTGGTGGATCTGTCTTCACTTCACTCAGGGAAGGATAATCTAGCGTTGAACTGGTTCCCTCAGATCAGGCATATCCTGGGAGCCATGGATCTTTGGGGGTGTCTATAGAACATTTAGGGAGAGGTTCTGTGAAGTCTCAGAAATGATATCCAAAAGCGTGTGTATGTCTTTTTTATGGGGAAAAATTGCATTGTTTTCATAATGTCCTCAGAGTTTAAGGACCCAAAATTTAATTAAGACCATTGTCCGAGGTGAATGGGAGCAATAAGCCAGGGCTGCTACTACTGAAGTGTCTGCCAGGTTTCACAGGAGGGAAAAAGTGAGGAGTCTGAACTTTAGATAAGCGCAGGGAAAGTACTTTTTACAATTGCTTTTCACTGCCTGTGAAATCTACTTACCGACTCAGGTGGAGAAGGATGCTCTCTCTCTAGGTGGACAGGCAGCTCTTTAGAACCTTCAGCCATTTCAGGGCGTCCCCATGGGAGGGACCACATAGATAGCAGGGAACTTCTACCTCCTGATCATTTTGCCCGGAAGAAGGGAAGAGGCCTGCTGCCCACCCAGCGTTAATCCTCAGGGTAGGGCAAAAGGGCTTAACTGATATCAGTTTAAATAACATATGGCTCGAGCCAGTTTACACACTTGGGAAACACTAAGTCGATAGCCACAAGTATAGTAAAAAAACGTGGCTGTCTGGCAAGCAGCCCTCCAGACATCCAAGCTTCTGAAAATGTCTTTGAACATCACACACCTATTCTTTTGGGTGTTTTTTTATCAATCATTTTGCGCTATAGGGGAAAAAAATGTTCTTTGATTGCTTGGTAATATGTCAAAGGCCTGCTTTTTCTGGAAACTACTGGAAAGAACCAGAGAACAGAAGGAAGGGATCTCAGGAAGGGGCACTGACAATTGTATTGAGAGCAGTGAGCCATTGGGTGGAAAACTGGAAGATCTGAGGGAAACTGACACCCACGGAGCACTCCAGAGTCTAGTCTATCCAGGAGGAAGTCCTGGATATTAGGATTTTAAAAGCCTCCCCTGGTGATTCAGACATGCAGTGAAGTTTGACAGCCATGGTTCTCATAACTTAAAGAATCACTGTCCTCCTCCCTACCTTCCCCCCACCCTCCACTCTCTGCATGAGACTCTAATGCAGCAGATCTGGGGTCGTGCCCAAGAATCCACTTTTCAAACAAGTTCCCCAAGTGACCCTGATGCAGGGGGTTTTAAAAGAGACCTTTTAGGGGTATCTTAATATTCTATTACAGTTAACTAATATTAGAGAATGGGGTGTTCTAGTTCATCGAGTATCCTCGTCTGTTGATCACTGCTATATGTTGCCAGTTATAGGTCACCAAAAAAAATGTACTTTATAGGAAGCTTAATATCAAGATTATATTCAATACAATTTGATCCTTGAAACAGGAAGCATAAAAGCAGCATTGCAGTAAGTAATCACTTACTTTCTCTCTGGTATATTCTGATTGCTTTTTTGATTAAATCTTCTGCACCTGCCGATGCACCTACAATAACAACAGAATTCAAGGGAAAGAAATAAATATTCTTTATGTTGTTTTGTGACGTGGTTTCCAGTTACAGTGCAAGTTTTCTAAGAGAGGTTGTATCACAGAGTGACCAAGTGATGATCGGACTGCATAGGTTCAAATACCAGATATACCAATGGCCACCTGGTAAAGAGGACAGTAGTAGCATCTACTTCCCAGGGTTGGTGGAGGGGGAATGTGAGAATTCATTTAAGTGCTTACCTAGTGCCTGTACTTTGTAGGCAATCAGTTACAACTGGCTACTGTGTTATTTGTAACCAGAAGCTAACATTTTGTGTAAACGATTAATTGGTACTTATAAAGAATTTAGGTGTGACAAGAGTTTTGACTTAAGAAGCTGTTTGTAAAGTTTTGAGGTATCTGAAGAAAAATTGGAACTGTATCCAAACTCCTCTCTTGGCTTATCAGGGAATCAAAGCTGTGCTGGCTGAGAGTTATGAGCGAATTCACCGCAGTAACTTGGTCGGAATGGGGGTGATCCCCCTTGAATATCTCCCTGGGGAGACTGCAGACACCCTGGGACTCACAGGGCGGGAACGATACACTATCAGCATTCCAGAAAACCTCAAACCACGAATGCAAGTCCAGGTCAAGGTAAGCCGGAGCCTCTCCATGCCACGGCCGACTAAGAGGGACCTTTAAGTTTGTAATCAGTATTGTTAGAAGGAAATCAGTGGGATTTGGGATGGGGGGTAGGGGAGGGAGACACTCAGTAGGACTGCATTAGACTCAAGAGTTCTACCCGCACCTCTTCTATCTGCCTTCACAACATAATGAGGATGATACCTATTGATTTTTTATTTATTTGTTTATTCATAAAGTTATTATCAGTTTCATTCTTACCTCCCAGCCCCACTGTCTCCTAGTCCCCCCAATCTCATTTAGCTCAGAGAATAGTGGTGAAAGCTCAGGAATAGCACATTACCTTAAAAAAAAAAAACCTTTTAATTATGAAAACGTGAACAATAGACACACTCCCCCTCCCTGAGCCTCACCCTAAATGACAGCTCCCTGGGCGAGGTAAGGATGAAGTGCCCAGCACCAATGTCCCAGGGGGATTTAGACACCCAACCAGAGGCAGCTGCTAAAGTCTGTGCCCCAGTGTGAGCAGCTGAGTCAGCTGCCTAAGGGAAAATCTTAAGGAAACCTCTGCTGACCCAAGACACTTCTACCTGCGGAGAGCTCCCAAAGAGGGAAAAATCACCAGTAAATGCTGCCCAGAGAAGCTGTTTCCAATTCTCAGATGTCTCTCACTTCCGTCGTGGTATACTGTACAGTGCTGTCCCGTGCAGATAAGTCTGCTGGGGATCTTGTTAACAATGTAGCTTCTGATTCAGCGTGTCTGGCTGGGGCTAGGGACTAGGCACGTTTCCAAGTGCTGCTGGTGACTCTCATATGGTGGTGCTACTGGCTGCCCACCACACTCTGCGTGGCCGACCTGAGGGCATGCGGGGCAGAAGCCTCTCCTGACTGAGCTGTCGTCTTGCCTCTTCCCTTGGTGACTTCTCCACGTCCATGTCATTGCAGCTGGATACTGGGAAGACCTTCCAGGCTGTCATGAGGTTTGACACCGACGTGGAGCTCACTTATTTCCACAACGGGGGCATCCTCAACTACATGATCCGCAAGATGGCCAAGTAGGCCCTTGTTTCTTAGGAGACCTGCATTTGGAGCTACACCCGGAGCGTGTGCAGCGTCACTGGGCAGCTGAGCCCCTGGCACAGAAGCGTCCCCCAGCCTCCATGCAGGGTGCTGCCTGGCAGGCGGAGCACGTGAGCACTGGCATCCGGGTGCCATTCCTCCAGACCCCAAATCAGCAGTTTCTACATTCTCTATTTTTATTAATCTTTGTACCTTTTTCTAGACTTTGGAAGCAAGAATAGTGGGAATGTCAGTCGTGCCAGAAAGAACTGAGCTCCTCTTTAAAGTTACCGATCACAGAACGTTGATTTTTCACTCTTAGCCTGTTAATGTTCAACTGAACACAAATAAGTCTTCTCAGAAGGTGCCTCCTTCCTCTTTTTTGTTTCTCTGTTATCCTCGGCTCAATGAAACCTGGCCCTTGAGAGTCATTTGCCTTTGTGTATTACACCAGTGTTAACTGACATAACTAGATAAGAACTTTTTCACACTTCAAATCACAATGGTGATTGCAGTTCTCCCCCTCCCCCTTTCCTTCGGAGTGAATGATCCAGACACCTTGTGGACAGGTCAGATGCTGAAACTTTCTGATTTTGTACCTTTTCATGGATCAACATTAAAGAAATGTGATGTTTTTTCTTTTACTAGCTACAAAGTTTTCATTTGTCAAGAAGATAACTTTGTTCGAAGGTGGTTTTGGAGAGAGACACAGAACATTTCCAATTTGAATAAAATTAAGTCTATTTTCAAGGAAAACTTTTTGACTTTGGAATTGAATTCTGCTGTGTGTGGCTATAGTTTTGGGCTACTTAGAGCAGAAAGAATCTCAGACTGCAGCTTCCTGAAGCGTGGATGACCTTTAAGTTCTCCTGTTTTTACAACTACTATATATGTAGGTAAAATGGAAGTGCCAAGGAACCAACATGCTCTCGGCTCTGTTTGGGAGCAGACAAGAAGGTAGCAGTAGCAATAATGTAAGTATGGTGAGCACATCATAATTTTTTGATTTTCGTGTCCTATAGCTTATCTGCTCATTTTCATCACTGAAGTGGTTTCAGGGCAATGTCTTAGCCTGTTCCAGCTGCCATAACAAAATATCATAGACTAGATGGCTCAAACATTGAAAATGTATTTTTATCACAGTCCTGGAGGCTGGAAGCCCAAGATCAAGGTTCCAGCCATTTCATTTTCCGGTAAGCGCTCTCTTCCTGGTTTGCAGACTGCCACCTTCTCACTGTGTCCTCACATGGCCCTTCCTCAGTGGAGGGGATAAAAATTATGTCAAGGGTATTGACGCTAATAATGATTTTGAAGCCTTCATTGGCAACATCCCCATATCCTGCAAAATGGGGCGGTGGCTCAGTGAAAAAACGCTCTCCTCAATAAAAGTAAAGAGGAAAATTAAGAGGATCAAAAAAATTTCCCTGTAATTCTCATTAAAAATGTGGAAGAGGTGTTTTAAAATATCTTCATCTCCAAACTTTAGGAAGAAATGTTTTTTAAAATGAGTACACACTGATGTAAAGTTGTAATTTTGTCCTAAAATGAGTGTTAACTTGCTTTAGATCACACTGCTCCTCCATACTTTTTGAGCACAGAGATTATGACTTTTTCAAATTATGGACATTCTGGAGTTCTACCGACTAGTGAAATTCATCTTTTTGGAGTTCAAGTATGTCTCATGCCTCTGCCCAATAACATGGTTGAGCACTTATTTTATATGAGACATTGTGCATACATCTCATTTTACCCCCAAATCTGCCCTGTGAGTTAAATACCATTATTTTCCCAACTTTACAAATGAAACTGAGGATTTAAAAGACAGAGTAACTGCCTGAGGTCACATATCTTGTAAGTGGCAGAACTGGTATTTGAATCGCTGATTTTAATGTTAAAGATCTCTCCCAGCCTTGCAGTGTTCAGTGCTTCCGGAGATTCCAAGATGAAAATCTCTGCAAAAAGTCTGGAGAAAATGAGGGTGTACCTGCCTGTGCGTGTGTGTGTGTGTGTGTGTGTGTGTGTGTGTGTGTCTGTCCTGACTTTCCCCAGTCTGGTTCCATGCTTCTATGTTATAAAGAAAATTACAATAAAAATAAAAATGAAGGTCACTACCAAGAGGCTGAACTGAACAGGTGTGCCATTTCAAAGTATGCATTATTATTCATATCTACAATGAGGCATTCCAACACCTGCACAAAGCAATGGGAGCTTTTTTCTGAGGACTCTAGATGTTAGAGAGAGGGCACTTACTTAGAGAGAGAGAGAGAAAGAAAGAGAAGATAGTACTCAAAATGAACTGTCAACAGCAATTTAGCTATTTGCCCTTTAGATCTAAAAACATAATTCAGGTAGTAGCACTAATAAAATATTTTTTTAATCTCATTGAGACTTAAAAGCAGAATAAATTTGATGTTCACTGAAGTACAAAATTTTAAGCTTGAACTTATTGTTCTAATGCAACACTCAGCAGTATGATAAAAGGTACCAACCATGCTCACATTCTCTATCTGATACTTATGGTCAGACTCAAAGATTCAACACAAAAAAGACTTCCATTTTCTTTAAATACTGCTTCATTCCATGTCTAAGATTTAAAATGGAGTTAGTCATCAATTTTTCTTTGTATATGTTTATTTTTCTTTTTTTTTTAAAGATTTTATTGGGGTATTGGGGGGGGGGAACAGACAAGTTGCTGTGGTTTTGTTCTTCAGTCTAGTTGTGGAGGATGTCGCTTCACTGGCCCATGTTGGTATTATCATTGCGCTCTTCCTGGGGGAGGCAGATTGGTTGCCAGCCTCTGGGCGGCCACTCACGACGGCTCTTGGCAGCTCACACCGGCTGCCAGCCGCTCACACCGGCTGCCAGCCACACATGGTAGCTTATGGCAGCCCACTGCAGCCTCGCTGCAGCCTATGCTGTCCCTGGTGACACAGCAGCCCAGCTACAGGTTGAGCTGTTGTTCACCATCTTAGCTGTAGAGGGCAGTGTCACTGGCCCCCATGTGGGATCCGAACCGGGGCCCTGCTGCTCAGAGCTGGCATCCCAAGCCAGCTCTTAACCAATGGTGCCACTCGGCCGGCCCTATTTTTCTTTTTCAATTACATCATTATTGCTGGTCAAAAGGAAGCACTTGCTATCTCTTGCTCTTCCTCTGACTATCAGAACATATTTATTTTTCTGAGTAAGAAGCAATGTTGTTGTTTTTTAATTGTGGTAAAAAACATAAACATGAAATCTACCCTCTTAATAAATTTGTAAGTGTATAGTGCTATCAACCACATGCACATTGTCATGCAGTTCAGTTTTTTGTTTTGCATAACTGAAACTCTATTCTCATTGAACAACAACTCCCCTGTCCCCTATACCCCCAGAAATAAGATTTTCAAAAATTGTTCATCACAGTTCCAGGATTGACAGTCCCCTTGGAGAGATGGACTGAAATCCCCCCATGTTGATAATATGAAACCAAGAAATGTTTTCAACTTTTAGAGCCATTGCTCTCTGACAAGGAATGGCTTCAATCTTGAGAAGAAGCAAATGACAACCGTGCTGAGCATGGACATCCTTGCCTTGTTCCTGACATACATAAGTATTTTATTTGGTGTGTTTGACTTAAAACTGATAAATCTGAGAATAGGTAAACAAAGGGCTAGGGATATTCCTAAAATTCAACTTTGGTTCACTGCATCCTGCTTTCTAGAGAAGCCGAGCTGTTATTAATTTTTTATAGAATGTGGACTCAACTGCAGGTGTGCACCTACACACTAAACATGTAGATAAACTAGGTTTCACCTTAGACTGGCCTTGGGGTATCTGTGGTGCAGTGATTGGACAGCCACATTTCAGAAATACTGCTTTAAAGACAATCTGACATGAACCCTCAGTACACTGTGAGGGCTCTAAGATGAATAATAAACAGATCCTCCCTCAAGAGCCTTCTAGGAAATAGGGAAATAATACATTCACAACCACGAGAATATAGGGAGAAATTGATAAGTGCTACAAGGAAGGTAGATATAAAGGGTTACGGGCATTCAAAAGAGACCGTTGCCAGCTGGGAAAACTAGGGAAAGGTGATGTGTCAGCAGCGGAAGAGGTGAAACAACGATCAGCAGTAGCAGTACATGAGCAATTCCTTCAACAAGGAAACAATGATGGAGTCAGGTTGGCTGAAGTGAATAATGAACAAAGAAGAATGGGAAATAAGGTTGGAAAGATAAGTGGGTGCTGGATTTGAAAACTAGCATCATGAGAATTGGGGAACCACTGGAGTTTCTATAACAGGGAAGTGATGTACTCAAAGCTGTTTTCCAGGAAAAGTAATGTGGCAGCTCTTATTATGGAAATTGAAAAAAGGAAGAGAGACTGGTTAGGAGACTGTCTAGTTTTAGTGGGACAGAAGAGCTCCTTGGAGTATCTCTTCTGGAATACGGGGGGCCCATCAGCACTACAAGCACAATCATGAAAAGTCCACCTGTTGACCGCCAAAGCTTCAATCCAGTGGAAATTAATCTTGCATAAATATGTCAGTGTTGATTAAGATATACAGTATTCATTGTGAACAAGAATTAAAATTGGGTATGTGTTAATGGACAAAACTGTAGCTACCCAATCCTGACCCAGCCACCTTTAGAGCCAGTGATACCAGAGCCTACTGTGTTGTTGGTCACACACCCAACTATGTCTCCGTAAAGGAGAAAGGCCAGAAAGTTAGACAAATCAGACAAACTGGCAGCCATTTAAGAATGGCATCAAATGGTGGGCTGCGCCCCCCACAACTAAGATTGAACACGGCTCCTTGCACTGCTGATGGGCAGCCGGATGGTGACTGGACTTGGAGCTGAGTTAACTGCCCCCTCTACAACTAAGATTGAAGGACAACAACTTGGCTGTTCTCCTTCCCCAATTCCCTAACACTGTTCCCCTTCCCCAATTCTCCAATAAAACCTTTAAAAAGAAAAGAAAGAATGGCATCAAAGCTCTTACCTCTGGTTTGGATTATTTTGATGACTGCCCACATACTCATACAGGATGACCAGATCGCACTGAGCCGTGTCCATGCCTTCAGCAGCCGAGGTGACGATCAGAATCTTGTTATCTCCATTGGTCCTGAATTCTGACCTGGGAGGGTCATTCCTGTGTCAGAGTCAGATTAACAGAACTGTAATTACCTTTATGAAAAGGAATTTGAGAGACGGAGAAGACAGTTCTCATTTAATACCTTCCTGTATTTTTCTTAACCTGAGGGATGTGGGATTATGAGCCATTTGGGTTTTCTTCTTTATATAAAAGTATATATAAATGATAGTATTTTGATATCATTAAAATTTTTTTTGTAGTTTTATTACTAAAATAGTCTGAGTTTTCAGTAGTCCGGGCTCTGTGCATGGTGCTAGGGATAAAAGGATGAGAAAGAGCCCTGTTCTCAAGCAGCCCGGTCTGCGAGTCTCTCTAGGGTCAGTTTTCCAGGGCTCCTTTGGAAGAGCACAGTACACTAAAATTCACAGGGGAGAGCTAGATATCTGGGTTCAATTGCCCCTCTTTTTAAATAAGAAGGCTACCCAGACAAGTGATATTGACATGCTGCTTTCCCAGCTCCAACTACAAACAGGTGGCCAGCAGTAAACTAGATGAATCAAGTATTTATTGAACTTGAATAAGTGTGAAAATAAGGTAAGCAATCCGGAAATGAGCAGTTGACAGGATTTGAACTGGGGAAAAGGGGTAAGTATTACAGTGGAAGAAATAAGAGAAATTCATGTCTTTCCACCTCTGCCACCTCCCCAATTCAGACCATGTCATAATATTCCTGGATAATGTGATGGCCTTCTAACTGGTCTCCTTACTTCTTTCTTGTCTTGTTCTCTCCAATCCATTCCCCACTCAGCAGCTAGAGGGAGTTTCCGAAATTGAAGATAAGAACCTATGCTACCCACCTCCTTAAAAGCCATTCGTGGATTCCTCCGCCAAACTCCCACCCTGGCTCACAGGGTCCTCTGTGATCTATCCTCCACCTGCTTCTAATTCTCATCTCTAGATGTTCCCCTTCCTGCATTTTACAGGACTAGTGGATGTCCCTCTGTCCCTATACTCCCTCTATGCTCCTGGCCTTTGTACATGCTGTTCCCTCTGCCTAAAACACGCCTTATCACCACCACCCACCTAACCCCAACCCCTGTTGCTTTATTATTACTTATCTCCTTTTGGCTTTACTGTCAGACTGGAAATACCATGAGAGCAGGAGCCGTGGCCCAGGGTCCATGCTGTAGTCCATCACCTCGCACACTGCCTAGCATGAATGAACATGTTCAAGGAACTGCTAAATCAAAGGGTTCAGGAGGGAAGGAGTGAACGGTAAAACTGGAAAGATAAGTAGAACCAGATTGTGCGGGCAGGGCTCAGGCTGTCAAGTTAGATGCTTTACAGAGCTTTGCCTGGAAGGCATAGGGATTCGAACATGATATTGACACGGTAAAACTGGTATCTCAGGAAGATTAACCAGGTAATGGGGTTGGGTGAAACAGAGAGTGGAGGTAGGCAAACCAGCTAGAAAGCTGTTAGAATAAGTTCTAAATAAAACTGAAAGTAAGAGACTAGCAAAATGAGGGTGAGAGAAGGTGAGACAGCATGAGGTGTCTTGCAGACATCACAAGTTCACATCTCCAGAACTCTAAATTCACCTTTTACCTGCCAGAGCTGCTCCTACTTCTCAAACAAGCACCACCCACTGACTAAAAACAGCCTGTTTTCCCTTCCTCCTCCTTTTTCTTATTTATCAATTCTTTAATTTTTTTCAGCGGTTTATTTCTGAATCTGTTACTTCATAGAAATGATGAGCATTCATTATAAATAGCTGAAATAATACAGCAAAAGAGAAACTGCCCAGGTTAGCCCTTCCAAAGAGGACAAGTATGGAATCTTGAAATTCCCCTCATGTCCGTTGCTCAGGGCCTTCCCTGACCCCCAGAGGGCGCCAAGGCCCCGCATAATGCTCTGGCTGTCCTCGGATCCCCCTCTAGCCAGCCCTCACCAGTGCTGCAGTGGCACATGGATGGCTATCATGCTTTGATTTGTTAAGTCCCCCATGGGAACATCAGCTCCACAGGGAGGGACTTCAATGGTTTGCCTCATTCCTGTGTCCCCACATACTGGGTTAAAGGTTCCCAATATGCTTGTTGAAAGAATAAATGGAAAACAACAACAAAAACTTAGATATGTGAACTGACATTTTTTTAATGTAATATTGGGGGGAAAGAAGATGGAGCCTCTCTTTGTAATATTTTTACTTTTGAACTCATTTACAAAAAGAGATGATCTTGAACATTTGTGAAATTCAGTGTTTATAGTGAAGCAACTATACACATATATACATACATATACGTCACTACTGGTATTTGCTCTTTAAAATGCAAGAATTTTCTTCTTTGCTTTGTAGACTTTTACTTCTTTACTTTGTAGACTACTTTGTAGTCTAAGGGAAAATGGATTTAAAAAACACAACCAGTTTTCATTTCTGTAGGAAAACACACAAATGTGACCTAATTATCAGTAATATTTTCTTCCATCACAAAGTGTTAGAACAAACAGGATGGTCTCTCTAATAGCTTCAGGTTTGCAACTATACTTTGGCAATAAGGATAGAAATACACATGCAGCTTTGAATTGAGGTTTCCTAACTATTCTGAGTCCTTTCCCTCCCCTATAAGATACCTGAGGTTATAACTAATCACGCACATAAAAAAATTCCTCTTCAAAATACTATGAATTGCTTGCTTTTTTTGTTATTTAAATACAATAGAAATTATGAAGCTATATGGAATATGGGCAATACTCTTAGTAAGATTATGCTACAGACAAGACATGTATAGTACTTTTATGGACAAGAGCCTATTTATGACAATGTTCATCTAAGGCCACTTATGAAAGAAAGTACTTTTCTGAGCTACTGTAACTGTGCTTTTCCTGTAGGGTGAAAGAGTCAGCCCATTCATTAAGTAAATGAATTAATTAAGCTCTGGTCTTATACTCACTCTCCTTTGCTTGGTGTAGTTAGAGCATTTTTTAAAGAAACAATGTACATTTCTCTATCCTAGCAGTTTTCTAAAGCTCAGGCTTTCCATTTTAAAATCTCAGATTACCACAGTAATCTTGATTTTACAGCAAATGATTACAAAACTTGATAGATGTATGTCAGTGAAATCATGGCAAGTATCTTGGAGCAGCAGTAGGTACCCAGGCAGCTGACCTGTGGCACTTCCCACAATCCTCATCCCCATCCCCAGGTCTATAATCCATAAACTCCTTTTTTTCTTTTAGGATTTTTTTTGGGTTTTGTTTGTTTGTTTGTTTTTTAAGGTTTTTATTGGGGAATTGGGGGAAGGGAAACAGACAAGTTCCCCTTTTGCCATCCTTTTTTGTTCTTCAGTCTAGTTGTGGAGGACGTTGCTTCACTGGCCCAAGCTGGCACCACCATTGCGCTCTTCCCGGGCGAGGCAGATCAGTCGCCGTCTTCTGGACGGCCGCTCACTGCGGCTGCTGGCCGCTCACGCTGGCTGCTGGCTACACACGGTAGCCCATGGCAACCCACCTGCCGTTGCCAGCGACTCACAACAGCCCAGCTCCAGGTCAAGCTGTTGTTCAGCATCTTAGCTGTAGAGGGCAGTGTCACTGGCCCTCATATGTGGGATCCGAACCGGGGCCCTCTGTCATCCCAAGCCAGCTCTTAACCAACGCGCCACTCGGCCGGCCCCATAAACTCTCCTTTGGAAGCCAGAGGATCTCTTCTGAAAATCTGACTGGTGCGTTCTGCCATCCCCTTGACTTCTCCCCTAGAGTGGAAGAACACCATCGGGTCAGGATGCTGTTACTAATAAAATCATTTAAGGGGAGTGTTGTTGCTCCCTTGGATCAGAACTGTGTTCTAGACTGAGCTCTTACATGCTATGTCATCAGGTCATGTTAGCAGTGATGCTGAAGAAACATCAGATTCCTTATTCAGAGGGTGGGTTAGTTCTCCAAAGTGGAAGCAGGGTTCCTCAGTGAATCCTATGGATTTGAGGACAAAGTTTAGATGTGCCTGAAACCGCAGCTACAGGTTTGTTTTGATAACAATTAACCAAGATAGGGAGGCAGCAACCACTGGGAGTTGAGGGGACATACAGGACACAAGACAAAACAAACCTAAACCACCGTATTGGAGTCCAAAGTTTATATTGAGATTTTCTTGTGTTACGAAAGATGACCACAATGACTCCATGTTGTAGTCTGGACTCCATCTTATTGGACAAACAAATTGCACTGACCTTGCTGACTTGCCATAAAGAAGTTATTTGCTGAGAAAGACTTTTTCAAGGAACGTCAAAACATCTGTGCTTTTCTAGGAGTATACAAATACGTTTCTTCCTCAGTAATGGAAAGAGATGTTCATAAGAAACCAGTGACTTCTGAAAGATAACATTTCTTCCAATCATAGTTCTTGGTAAATAACTAATGCCACCTGAATACTCTTCCCCCCCCCCCCTTTTAAATGCTCCTGCTCCCAATCCTCAGATGGGACACTTTTCTGGATGGAAAAACAAACAAAACCTGTGTTCCCAAACTGCAATTCAGGACCTCGATTAAATGCTTTTCTTGCCCTGCAGCCTTGCCTTTTACTCTAGGTCAACACTTAGTATTGGTTTTGATTTAGCAGGTTTGTGATTAACCCACTTGAGGGCACACATGTGCCCTTTCTTTCCACCTATACGTTCTATTTCCTTGTCATTGGCTTCATTCTCTTATATTCAGTTTTGGGATTTACAGACTTACATATTTGTAAAGATTGTATCTGCAGAAAAAAGGGAGAGGCTCTCGTGCAATAGTGTGTCTGGGAATTAGGAGTTCTGACAATTAAGTTTGTGAACTTGCCACCATATGCTTACATTGGCAGCACTGTACAAACAGCTTGGTAAGGTTTCATAACCTTGGTATATCAGTGTCTCACAGCTGTGCTCATCTTGACATGTGGCAGTGTCTTGCTGAGTGGTGTTCATTATTGTTGTGTGTTTTTGTGTGCCATCTCGAGAATTAGTCTGAGCTTGAATTAGACCAATGAACAAATATTAAATTTCTTGTTAAACTTGGCAAGAGTGGAAGTG